TTTTTGATCGTTTCACTAAAAGCGCCAAACCGCGCCGCCGGAGAAGATGCAAAAATTGCGCTGTCTGCGTCGGTAAATTGGCTATATCATACGTCAACGAAAATTTGACTCACAACACCCTGTCCAGCGGCTGAACACTTGGGAAAGCGTATCGCTTGAACTGTAGGTCTTCGTGACCGATATATTCGTCATCGTCATCATCATCAAGCAAACCGAACCTGAACATGAAACTCAGTGCAGTAAAATTCTCAATATATGGAACCTACGTCGGCATTTGTCGCTTCAGATCCTTGAGTCTCGTTTATTCGTTATCAAGGGGCAGAACTGATGACGGACAAAGATAAAGCATGAATATCCCGTATTACCAGATTCTGCGCTCCAACGTCATTGCATACTCCGCCGTCGCCGCGCGGCGAAGAAGTGTCGCTCGCGGCAATTTATGACTTGATTTTTGAAGCTTTTCATTAGTTTTTGCAACTAATAGATGGACTAATGTCCTTGTGGCTTTTCTTTGCAAAGCTTACGCTCTAGCAGTTCGCTTTATTGAAGTAATATGGGAATTTATGCTGTGGAGAACCAGTATTTTTGTTTTTGCAGGAAATCCCCCTGTATTTGATAGTCTTTTTAACGACGGCTTTGCGCATGGTTTTAAGAAGCAATGCCCAGAAAAGAAACTCACTTCGAAAACGCAAATGAAGTGGTGCGTAGGTTGTTTGATTGACTTAACCCTGTACCTTCATTCTCAGCATTGGAGAATTTTCCAGGAGTTTGCGGAACCGGACAGTGCCTCCGATCCTGACGACGAGGGCTTTGAAGAGTATCACGAGGGCGGTGACCAACAAGGATTGAGCACGGGGACATCAAAATCTACTGAGGCCACTTCTGTAGAGGTTGGTTCTCAATTTGTAGTGTATTTAGATAGATCAATTTAATCACTAACCCTCTTCCTTACAGAGCAGTGATAAAGCTTCGAAGTCAAAACATAGAAGTCGTAAGAAGCGAGCTTTGTCGCCTTTGTTGGATCTGCTCGATGTAGCGCCTGCTGTATCAAAGAACTTCTCTCCCAATGGAGGTACATTACTTGGTTTTCATGAAGGAATCCGTTAGGTTTAAGCGTCATTTTGAAGAAAAAGCTGGAGGTAATTCATCACCTCGTTATTTTGCATAAGGAAATAGGTTTATGTTTCATGTTCTTAAGAGCAGCTTCTGTTCTGAAAGCCACAAAGTTC